CGCTTATATAATGTGTTTTATCTTATGCATTTATTTTATATTTTTCATCATATGATAATTTACTTTATTAATTAAATTTGTTTTTAACGTGAAGTATTAATTTATTTTTATATTTTATTTTTACTAATCATTAGTTAAATATAATCTATGTATTAAAAATTTAAAAATTTAATAAATAAATTTATTTAATATAAATTTATTTAATAAATTATCAACAAAATATAAATAATAAATTTTATTATAAGATAAAAATAACATGAATACACTTAAAAAGTTCGAAGCTCACCTATAACAATTATGTGTTAATATGACACGATTGAACTTGTGTGCCGTGCCATGCTAGTTTACATCACATGTGCTGGCAATGGCCCTTAATGGACTGTGCCATGTTGGTTCATGGATCTGAAATCTTTTAATCCAACACGATATATATATATATATATATATATATATCATGTTTAACCCAACCTAATTACTATATAACGTGTTGTGTCAAATACGATTCATATCATACCAAATTGTATTATTTTATGAGCAACCATTTGACACTTCTACGAAGTTGGCTTGTGTCATGATACAATAATAGATCATAAATTGGGATTTACAAAGCAAAATAATTAATTAATCGATCCATAGGAACATTTAGGTTTTCCTCTTTATTAAAAAGGAAAACGGTTAAATATAAGATTATCCTTAAATCATACATTTTCTGTCAATTTTATATTTTAAAAAATAAAATTATTAATTTTGTACTCCAAATTTTATTTTATCATTTATTTTAGTACTTACTATTAATGTTTGTCAATTAATTTAATAACATGACATAAATATCCAATAAAATATTGATAAATATAAAAAGTCCAATCAGCATTACATCATCAATGTTATGTCAGCATTAAAAGAAAACTTAAAAAAAATAAAAATAAAAATTTAAAAGGATTTTTCAAAAATTTTCAATATTATACAAAATTTAAAAAATCTAAAAAAGATTCTAAAAATTTTAAAAAATTTTAAAATATTCAAAAAAAATTAAAGAAACTTAAAATTTTTTTTTAAAATCTCAAATTTTAATAAAATCCAAAAAATTACAAAAACTTTTGAAAAATTCAAAAAAATTGAAGATTTTAATAAAATAAAATTTTCTTAAAACAAAAAAATTAATAAAAACTAAAAAATATTTAAAATAAAAATATAAAAATTTTTAAAAAAATCTAAAATTTTTTCATTTTTTATATTTTTAATTTTTTAAAAATTTTTGAATTTTTTTGGATTTTTATTAAATTTTTAAGTTGTTTATTTTTTATTTTTCAAAATCTTTTAATTTTTTAGATGTTTCAGATTTATAAAATTATTTCATTTTCAAAAAATTTTAGAATTTTTAAAAAGTTTTTAGATATTTTCAAAATTTTTGGTGAGTTTGTTAAATTTTAGAAAAAAATTTAATTCTATTTAAAATTTACATTTTTATGAATTTTTGGATTTTTATTAAAATTTTCCTTTTTTTTTGAATTTTTAAAATTATCATTATTTTTATAAAACTAAATATATTTCATATTCTTTAATTTTTTATAAATTTAAAAAAATTTTAAAAAGTTTTTTAGAATTTATTAAAATATTTTATAACTTTTTTAGAATTGTTTTAAAATTTTCATAATATTTTAAAATTTTTGAAAAATTTTAAAAAGTTTTTATAATTTTTTTTATTTTTAGAATTTTAAAAAAATTTAGAATTTTCTTAAAATTTTAGAACTTTTATGAAAATTTTAAATTTTTTTAAAATTTTCTTATAACAATGATGTGGCATTGATGTGTCGTTGATCGAATTTTTTTGACATATATTGACATTTTATTAGATATTTATATCATGTTAATATGTCGGATTAAAGGTATTAGTCCGAAATATCAACACGATAATGAAATGAAAGTTAAAATGTTAAATTGATAATTTATTTATTTAAGTATGAAATTGATAAAAAAAATTTATAATTGAGAGATTAATTTTATATTTAACACAAAGGATAATATAAGCTCCTAAAATAGGGACAGAGTGGAGAAATGAGATAGAGATGGAATGAGGAAAGTTGCGTGTCTATCATAATAATATATTATTGATCTCAAATAAACAAATAACCAATTAGATGCGGAGGGCTTTCTTTTCTTCCTTTTTTATTTTTATTTTTTTTGTTTTCATCACTGTCCGTGTTAATACACTGTTATCATATTTCATTCAAGAAAAATATTGTCAGCCAGATCATTTAGAATAGTGACCATAAAAACAGATGGAATTGTCAATGCCAGGTAAGGTTGCAATTCATGGTTTCAGCTCCCCTTTTTTTCTTTTTTTTTTTAATTTTCTTTTAGGGGAAAGTAAGTATAAATATATAACCTGAAAAGAGGAAAATTAAACAATTCTTTTTAGGAAGAATTTGAATCTAACTCCTTTTATAAAAAATTTCATGTTTGTCATTTAATCAAATATTTAAATTCAAAAATTATATACTAATTATATATAAATATATAATGTCACCAAACAGTGTGTATAAATTATGCTATATGATTTTTTTATAAAAGAAAAAAAGCAAATTATGGGCGCAAAAAATTCTTCCACAAACACAATAATCATGTTTATTCTCCAAAGACTGCCTTCCAATGCCATTTTAATTGATCATGGCAAAGAAGATATCAAATAACAAATATATAAAATAAGTTTTCTTAGTGCAGCCTAAGGTAAGGTTATTTTCCAAATCCTTTTCGTCAGGGTACCATGGGATTTGTTTGTCGCGTGAAAGCCTCAAATCCTGTGGCCTCTCTTCACCGTAATCCAAATCATGGGTGGAAAAGGAAAAATGGTATGGTCTCACCCACCCATTGTCATGCCAAAAAGAAGATAGTGACACTTGGTTTTGGAAGTTTCCAAAAAATATTTTTCCGACGATGCCCATCACCCATCTTATCATTTCTCCTTCTCTTTTAATTTTTTTCTTCAATGTCCGTACAATTCTGTAGCTCACCTCTGTCTCCTGTTGTTAGTTCTGCTACTTGTTGTCGAGCCAGACAAAACCAGACTCATTTGAGCCAGAAAAACGCAATGTGTTTGAAGCTTGATGCTATCAGAATCTTAGCTCTGTGAGCACATGAAAAACCACAGCTATGAGACTGAGAAATCACTTTTCTTTTGCTTCTTGTTTTGGTTGTTTTGAAGAGGGATCACGTGGGAGTAAAGTTTCTTTCTTTGTTTTTGTTTTGGTTCCTTTGATAGAATCAATCTCACTTTCTCTCTATCCAAAAATTTGAACCTGAAAAAAAAAAAAAAAGGCTAGCTTGACTAGAAGCACAGTCTGAAACTCTTGTTCACGAAAATGGCAGAACTTGATTGGGTTTGAGAGATTCTTTTAGTAACTGAATGCTATGCGTGAGAAGAAACAGAAACAAGAAGAAAGAGGGTCTTTCTTTTTTAAAAAAAAAAAATTTTTTTTCTTTTCAAGTTCAATGATGACATCAAAAAATTCAAGATGAATCTTTTTTTTATCATTTTTTTTCTTTTGTTGAAGTCCAAAATCCTGAATCAAAAGGGAGGACCCTTTTCATTTGATGATTATCTCTTTTGGATTATTTTCCAGCAACAACCCCAAAAACCCGGAATTTTATTCCGTAAAAGGGACACAAAAAGGTTTAACAGACAGATACAACAAAACCCCAAAAACCAGAGCAGATAAACAGAGCTAACAAAGCTACACTCTTCATCCTATTGCCAGTTTCATCAAACTTCACAAAAACACAACATAAGCTGCTGCTACGCCAAACCCAATAAACAGAGAGAGAGAGAATCCGAGTGTGTTGTTGTTTTGCTGAACAGGAAACCAGCCTATATGTTTAACCATCGGAGGCTTATTTGGTAGCTCAGTTAGAGACTCTAGACTCTGTAATATTTAGTTATTTTTTAATTATTCCTATTGTTTTTGGGGAGCCTTTTCTCATAAATAAGCTGCCGTAGTTGAGCCTATTACTAGTGTTGTTGGTGCCTCCCAGTTTGTGTAATTCAACCATTTACTGCCCCCTCCGGGCCTTTAAGAAAGCCTAAATCTATTATATGCTACTTCCTCTTCTAGCTTTTTTCTTGTCAGCACTTAAAGGCTGAATTGTCAGTTTTTTTTTTCCTTTTGAGTTTTGCTCTATTGGTACAAAGAATGATTTAGACCTATTATTATCACCGGTAGTTTTATTTTTCCCAAGTCTACCTACCACAGTTTCCAAGTGTCAAGTTCTTCTTCATGTTCAAATTTTCTTCATTGGTTTTATAGAGTTTTGAATTTTCGGCAAGTGTGTATTCTATATCAGAGTTGCCTAATTGGGTTCTACCGTTAATTTCGGCTAACTTTTTGGTGTAACAGAATTGGTAGAGAACATCATCACCATTATTACCATCCAAAAGCCAAGAGAAAGAGAAAGAATTAGTTGCAGAAAGCACAATTGTAGCTTCCTGTTTCCCGGGCTGCGCCGCTGCTTCTTGTCGCTTGTGCGTTTCCAATCCCAAATCTCGAGGCAAACAACACTCTCTCTATAAGTCATTTTGTTTTGGTTTCTGGTTTGCATTGATTTTCTGTGTGTCTTTTCTGATCCTTTAGCTTCGTACCTTTCCTTCCGCCGCCAGTTTCTCTCTTTGTGTTTACACTTTACACTTGCCACCCTTTGGTTGCTGTAAAATTTGATACAGAGCCCCTGAAGTGTTTCAGGGGTTCGCCACGTTTAAATTTGAATGTACTTTAAGATGTGAAAATTGACTTTTAAGGTGTTGAGCAACCCATGATCACAGGGGGGTCGGTGATAGTTTTTGAATCGTGTTGTGTGATTCGCACTGAACCCAAGGTACAAGTCTTGAAACTATTCAAGCATTGCTCTTTGGTTTTAACTATTTGATTATTGCCAGCATATCCGGGTTTCAGGTATCATATTTTTTTTATGTTAATTTTGTATTGGGATCCCTATATGTTGAAGTTTTACAACATGCTAAGAATGGTTGTTATTAGTGGTGTGCTGGATTAGAAGTTGGTTCTTTGTATTTATCCATGTTTGGAATTGTATAATCCGTTGAATTAGTTGGTTCCAATCCCATTATTCTACGTAATCAAGAAAGTAAAACTCAGTCCATGAATTGGGGCTTTGAAAAGTATTAAAGGGGTTCTAGGAAAGTTCTTGAGTTGCATAGAGGAAGTACTACTAGAGTTGGTTTTGGTGTGGAATACTGGTCTTAAATACAAGACATGCTGAGCTCATACGAGGGAGTAAATGATGTGTTCTTTGATTCGTTGGATTGCTTGTCGCTTGAAGAACCACTTGTAGCAAAAAGAAAATTGGAGGGTGGGAAATTAGAGTATGAAATTTGGATAAATGAGCCACGAAATGTGAAGGAAAGACGTGAAAGTTTTCTGCGTGTAATGGATCTGGTTGAGTTTGCAAAGTCATCAAGGGTCAAGGATTTGGAGAGGATTTCAGAGTACAGTGATGCTGTCCCGAGTTCTTTATTTTCATCTGTTAACAATGGAGGTGGAAGTATGGCTTGTTGTGATAGGGAAACCACTTTTCAAGCTAGTTTTTTGGTTGATGAATCAGAACAAGAACAGAACGTAGCTCTTGAGAGAGAGAATATGATATTTTCTCCTACTGAAGGTCGTGAACCAAAGGAAGCTCAAGCACACTTAGATGAGTGTGAAAATGCTAAAGTTAATACGAAGAAATTCAAGAAATGGTGGAAACACCTTTTGAGTTTGAGGAAAGGAGGAGAAAATAGATGTGCATCTAAGGTATCAAAGCAAAATATCAAAGTACATAAAACAAACAGAATGATGGTTCAGCCCAACAAGAAAGGATACATGGAGTTTACAGCACTTTATATGGGACCAGAAATACAGGCTCACAAGGGCTTCATCTGGACAATGAAGTTTAGCCCAGATGGTCAGTATTTGGCAAGTGGCGGTGAAGATGGGGTAGTACGTATATGGCATGTCACATCAACCCATGCCTCCAGTAAGCCTTTCATGGCGGACGGCATTATGGTTAGAAAGATGGACAAAGGAAAATTCGGTTTCAGCAGAAAAAACCCGATCCCCTCACCAGTTATCCCTTGTAAGAATTTTCAGATGGAGGAGTCACCAATGCAAGAGTTTCATGGCCATGCCAGTGATGTTTTAGATCTTGCATGGTCCAGTACAAATGTGAGTCAATCGTGCAGAAACCTAGCAGTGTATTATACTTCAATTCAACCCTCTTTAGACCTTTGTTTTAGTTTTTTGTGATACTGAATCAAATTTTTGGTTGCAGTGTCTTGTTTCTTCTTCCATGGACAAAACTGTTCGTCTGTGGCAAGTCGGCTGCAATCAATGTCTAAATGTTTTTCATCATAGTAACTATGGTAACTGTGAAAGGACTCGATCCTATCATCCCCTATTCTGTGATTTTATAGAAATTATTGTTCCTTTTTTTTTTTTATTTAGATTGACCTATATTTATAATTTATTGATTTCTTTTCTTCTCTAAAATACATAATGCCATAGTCTAAATTCTGATCATGCTTTTTCTTTGGATGGAAACAGTCACATGCATTCAGTTCAATCCCATTGATGACAATTACTTCATCAGTGGTTCTATAGATGGAAAAGTTAGGATCTGGGGAGTCTCTGATAAGCGAGTTGTTCATTGGGTAGATGTGCGAGACATTATAACTGCTATATGTTACCGGCCAGATGGGAAGGTGTGGATCTGAATACTTGAATCAATGTTCTTCTGCTAAAAGGATTGTTTTGGATTTCGTAACTTTTAGAATGGTAATTACTTCGTGTCCTTGAATTCTAGCAGGAATTCGTGGTTGGTTCCATTACAGGCACTTGCCACTTTTATGAAGCATCAAGTAATAATTTCTACCAAGTTAGAGTTCTATTCTACTATTTAATTGTAATTGTTCAGTCCTTTTCTTTTTCTGGCACAGCACCTTCATGCCCATTCATTCTAACTGAGTGCTTTTTTTTTTTTTTGGTGCTACAGGTGAGGATTGTAATTTGGAGGCAGAGATAATATTCATGGCAGGAAGAAAACCTCTGGCAACAAAATAACAAGTATTCAGGTTTTGCACTAATGCTCTTGTGCTCTCTATATGTTGCTTACAGTAATATTTTCATCAAGTACTAATTAGTTTCATTCCAACTTGCAGTTCTTCCGGGGTGAATCGCACAAAGTTATGATAACTTCTGAAGATTCCAAACTCCGAATATTCGATGGGGTAGATATTGTTCGTAAATTTAAAGGTAAGAATTATGTGTCATATACCTCCTTGGAATTGGGTAGATGAAATGAGTCAAAATCATGTGCTGTTAACCTAACTTGAAATAAAGCTGAATTAATAATATTTTATTACCATCCTATATTCATTCCTTACATTTCTCTTTGGGTAAATGACTGCACGTTACATTTTTACCCGTAGTTCCAAATTTAAAAGATGTTTTGATGCTTCAAATCTTTGCCCTTTCCTTAAGCTGCTGCTTGCTCTGTTCTTCTATCTGCACTTTGAATGAGATGGCTATGATAGTTGTTTTAATTGATTGCTAGCGGCTAACCTTTCCTCCTCCTGTAAACATATCAAGAGTAGCTTTATTTCAAATGAATGTTTACAGTTTTAAAACATTTTCTCTTCTCTGATTTAAGAAAACGCAAAATTTCCATCCAAGAACCGTGTTACAACTAAATCAATGGAACTAATTCAGTTAAATACATTCCGAGTTACTAGATTTTTCTTTTCACTTTCTAATTTATGAAGAGAAAAAAGTTAGATCTTCCTTGGATTGCCTTTAATATATTTAGTGTCAAAGAAGTTAACTATTAGCTTATATTTGTGCTCAGATCCATATGAATATTTACTGGTTATGCACATTCAAGTACACGTGTCATAGGTACATCGCATTTAACTAGAATATTGCAAGATTAAATTTGAGAGATCTAAATTCCTTTACAGCTGTAGTTGTAGCTTCGGTTTTTTTTAAAGATACGAGCTTTATTCTTGGTTGTCTTGTCTTTACAAATGCATTTAACTTACAATTCTTTTTACTACAATCCTACAATTGACAATTACAGTAAAAAATTATATAAGGGTTCACTATTCATAAATGTGGGCTCTATACAAAATTTTGATGGATCCCATGCAATTCTAAATTATGATTGATTAATTGTAATACAATAATTGTAAGCGATATACTCGTTATCTTTGCATGTTTAATCTTTTGGTGGCATACCTTATAACAAATCCAATGAATTTATAATCTTTTGGGGGTATATGTTATTACACATCCATTGAAGGATAAAGTAGAATTAGTCAAGCTTTGGATATTGAATAGTGTCATGACCTATGCACTACGCTTGAAGGTTAAATTATAGCTTTACCAGTTGTGCATGTGTTGCCAGTGCGTAGATAATTATCCATTATTTGATCCTTATGTTGCAATTTTCATAAATTAATGTTTTTCTTGAATAAGTGCAGGACTGCTAAAGTCAGGAAGTCAGATGTCGGCATCTTTTAATTCAACCGGGAGACATATAATCTCAGTTGGAGAAGACTGTCATGTTTATGTCTGGAACTACAATGACTTGTGTCTCGATACATCGAAACATGCAAAATCTGTTCATTCCTGTGAGCACTTCTTCTGTAAAGGTGTGTCTGTTGCAATACCTTGGTTAGGCCAGGGTGCAGATCAGAAGCACTCAGATATTAATGGCTGCGGGGCTCCGTCACCAAGAGAGGGTCAAGAGGGTGCTTCCTGGATCAGAGATTCAGAACGGTTCTCTCTTGTCAACTGGTTCTCCATTGATGTGTCCTGCAAGGGTTTTGCCAAATGGCCCGAAGAAAAGCTTCCTTTGTGGGATGCAGCGGTTGTGGAAGACGAGTGTTATATACATGACCAGCAGCAGCTCTGCTACAATAGGTGCCAACTATCAGACGACCTACCGGAAACATGGGGGTTAGTGATTGTTGCTGGTGGATGGAATGGAACAATCAGGACATTCCAAAACCATGGATTGCCTGTTAAGTTATAGGAGTTTCCGCCTGGAGTTTTCATAGTCTATTAGTACCAGTTCTTGATGCTTTTCAATTTTTTGGTGAACTTACGGTATATTATTATCTGGGTTTGTCCCATGTGCAAGCCCAGTCAGCTGCAGACTTCAAGGAAACAAATTTGCTTCCAGATGTAAATGTTCCCAAGCCACGGCGTTGATAGTCAACCCATTACCCCTCTTAAAATGTCGGTAGAGGTCCTTTCTTTTGACATGCTTTTAAGTCATCATTATTTAACATTGTCCATGTCATCATGCTTATGTTGGAACCCTTTTAACATGGCAGTTCATACAATTTTTCGAAATCTTACAGTTTTTCTTTGTGGATAATACTTAAACTACATAGCAATACAAAGAAATCGAATTAATTACTAATGCTTCATGCTGCTTTATTTCATGTTTCCATGACCATTTTCTAATTTGAATTTCTGTCTTGTTTAATTTGTTAGTAGTGGCATGTATGTATATATAGGGGTAGTGTCATCAAGATATGTAACACTGCAATCCCATATAGGTAAATTGTAATGATTCGTTATGATATATATATATATATATATATTTACATATAAACTTAAGTTTGTATTTATAAAATACTTTATATGAAATAAAAATATATATATATATATATACTTGAATTCATATTTGTTAAATGGTTTTTTTAAAGAAAATCATGAAACTTTTAATAATATTTCGAAAATTGAATATGAACTTTTTAAAAGTTTCTCAGCATATATTTTATGTAACTATAACAAAAAAAAAAAATTATATATTACACCTCTTTAGAATTACAAATAAGTCACCATGACTTCAAAGAAAATTTAAACCATTTAATGAAAGCGAGGTCCTACGGCGACTCCGAAATTTGGTGGAAAACTGGGCTGGCTGTTCAGCCTACAAGAACTCATTAGACGTTTTTTTTTTTCCTCTATCCTGAAAGACACGAGAACTGGATAGATGTTGGCAAAGGCTTTTCGAATTTCAGGTACCGTTTTTGCTCCAGTAATAACAAGCTTTCCAGATGGAAAAATCAGCACCGTAATTTCGGTTTGTCTCATCCGATCAATCAGAACTGGAAAATAACTCAGGCTTGTATGTTGAAAACTTATAATGAGAATGCCCAAAGCGTACAAGACTTGGAGGAACCGTAACATTACAGGAGGACAATCATATTCTGAATCTTGAAATCCTTGAACTTAACATCAAAACCCAGCTTTTGGACTATTTTAGCATACATCAGGGGTCCGGGCAGTCAATTCGGAATGTTGCTGGGTTTTGGCACCAGTGCAAACAATCTCTCCGGAGGAAAAAAATGAGTGCGGTGGTTTTTGGTTCCTTGATCCTCATTATCACAGCAGAAAACCTTTCCATGTTCACAGTGGATGTATTCAGCGTTGCGAAAATGGTGGGCAATGGCCTTAAGATCCAGCGTGCAATCCAGGTTCACAGTGGAAACTATATTCTGAAGGATAGGGGTAGGGCGCTCTGAAGGATCAGGAACTTTCGTTACTTTCTAGTAATGTATTAATTAATATATTTGCAGTACACGTTTTATATTTTTTAAAGTTGTAAAGATCACATTAAATATTTTACTATAGTTGTGGGTATCATTATCATTAACTCTATATTCAACCACGTTTTCTGTCTTGAAATCTTTTAACATTAACAACATCCAAGCTTTTGAAACAATTCAACGTACCCATAGCTGCGTTAGCTATCAATCAGTTTTTTGCCAATTGCCGTTCATGCTCGCAATGCAGAATACAACATCCCGAAAGGTCTGCTGCAGTAATATTGATGAAGCAAACAATCTTTTTGCGAAGGAAAATATGATTGCAGTAAACTTTTTAGTGCTAGTTTTATTCTGCATTACGAGAACAAACAGCAATGGCCTTTGGAGATCGATTCAGCTAGCATGCAATCCAGGTTCACGATTGAGACAAGATTCAGAAGAGCGACGAGGGACTATCCCTGAAACCAGGGTGGTGCCTGGAAGGATCAATCCAAAGCCTGGCTACTCTAAAACCCTGTGATTGACATCTTGAGACTAAATCTTGGACGCAAGATCATTCCGGGCCTTAGTTCTTTCTAAGAACTTGCAAAGAAATAAAAGTATAGCACTTTTTTGTAGTAAGTTTTATAACTTATTGATCCGAATACTGGATTGTTAGATATAAAAATTTAAAATCGAAAAAATAAGTCATCATCAATCTTTTTTAGAGTATGATAAGTTACCAAAAAATTTTTATCTTTTTAATAAAATAATAAAATAGATTTAAAGTTTATTAAAAAGATAATTTTAATCTACAAAAACATGATTGAGTTTGGGAGTCAGTTACTCATGAAGCAAGATTAGCATCCTCACAATACCCATAAAATTTAGTACCAATTAATCATGCGCTATCTATAGTTTTGAAAAAAAATGATTTTATTTAAAATTTAATAATAATTTTTTTTTAAAGAAAGAAAAATCAATTAAAAAATTTTATTTATAAATATTGTAAAAACCTTTATATTAAAGAAAAATCTTATAATTCTTCAACATTTAGGTAGAATTCAAAGATAATAATTTTCATATGAGATTCACCACAAAACTCCTTTAAAAATAAAAATAACATTATTTGCAAATGATAATGATCGGTGACTCTCTAATAACTAGGTAGAATATCAATTTTTTTTAATGTTATTTTAATTTTACTTTTAAATCCATTTTTACATAACATTTTTTATAAAAGGATATTTTTGTAGAAAAAAGATAATGTTGCAATTAACCAAAAAACGATAGTAACAATTAAAAAAAGGAGAACGTGGAATGAATGTAATCATAATCTAAAAATAAATATATGTGAATGAATTTTAAGCAAGATGATGAAATGCAATTTTGGGATCAGATTTTTTAATATAAAAAGGCCACCCAAATTTCTCAATTTTTAGGTAAAATTTAAGTACGACTATTTATATTTAAAATTTTATTTATATTTTTTATTTAATTTTATTATTTTTAGATTAAAAAATTATATAAAAAATCTTAATAAAATAAAATTTTCTAAATATCTCATCATCTAAGTGACATTCGAGAATAGATTATTTCACGAAAAATTTTTCATATAAATCCTTGAAAATTTAGGATAGTTTTGGAGATTTGAATAAATTTAAAGTTTTAAAATTTTATTTAAGATTTTAATTAAGGCATCGGGATTTTGCTTAGAGTTTAGGATTTCACCTAAGATTTAAAGTTTTACTTAGAGTTTCGAGTTTCACTTAAGGTTTAAGGTTTCAACTAAGGTTTTAATTTGAGGTTTCATTTTAAAGTTTCACTAATTTATGAACCTCTCTAAAAGTTTTTAATATGTAGGTAAAGTTTCAAAACAAACTCATTTTTTATTATTATAATTTCTCCAAAAAAATGAATTTTTATACTTTTTATATATTTTCTCTTTTCATTAAATTTTTTTTATTATTATTATTATTTTACTTTTCTCTTTTTTATTAAATTTTTATTAAATTATTTATTTACTATTATTAATAATTATTATTAATTCTTTATTTGTTTACTTTGGCATTTTCAATATTTTAGAGTCTCTTTTAAAAAGAAAATCCAATTCTCTTTAATAAGATTTAACTCCTAAACTTTTAGACAAAACTAAACCTTTTAAAATATGATTAACTCCCTTGAACATTTAGGTAGGAATTTTAAAATTTTTATTATTTTTATTATTATAGATTTATTCTTTAATTTTATTATTATTTTTAAGAAGCATGATGAAATTAATAAATTTAAAATGCGTTGAGATTGTATCTAAAATAATTTATAACATGAAAATTAAATTACGTAGAAACTAAAATAAGCATAGAAATTTAACTAATAAAAACATTAAACATGTATGAAATTTAAATTATACTCAAACAACATAATAAAAATGTGCATGAACATGAATGATATAAAATATGCATGAAATGAACCTAGTTAAAAATAAACAAATTTTCAACCTCACATTTTAAGTCTTTGTTTATATATATATAAAAATCTTTCTACCCTACTAAGAATGCATGAGTGGTAAACCATATGGTCTTAAGCTCTTGTAAGAACAAAACGGATAGGGAACCTTGAACAACACTAGGATTTCAAGACTCACACAACTTTTATATCGAGAGAATTTAGCAAACATGAACGGATGAAGCTTAGTTTGGACAATAATCCCAAATGCAGCAACAGAAAACCTAGCAAGTATGAAAATTTCAAAACTTTAAGCTTGAACAAGATAATCATCAAATGTGAAAATGTTGGAACTTCATGCTCCTGTATACAGGCCATATGTAGATGGATGAGACCAAAAACCATGAAAGCTGAAGCTTTGTTTTTTTAACAACCATACTTCACCATGAAAGACTAGGAAAAAAAAAATCTAAAGCTCCAAACTTCTACAGTAGTCCACACGTTATACAAATAGGAAGGAAGGAAATAAAAACTTGAACTTATACCTGCAGACTATTAGCTTCTGATCGTGGTTTCCAAGTTCCTGGCAGCTCGTGATTCTTCTTCTATTGCTGGGTTTCTGCTTCTCTTTTCCTCACCTGCTACTGTTTTGTTTTTGGTTTCCCTTTTTCCTGCTACTTTTCTTTTTCTATTTGGTCCACCGCTGAATCCTTCTTCTGGTCTGGTTTCACGTTTTTTCTGCTGCCTTCACGTCTGTTTCTTCCTCTTTTTCTGGTTTTTCTGCTTCACCCCGCATTTGGTTTTTCTTTCTTCTTTCTCCTTCTGCTTGTTTTTTTTTTTGCACGATCTTCATTCTCTTTTTTTTTTCTTGTTGTTACTTTTTCTGTAGGATGCTCTTTCACATTTTCTTTTGCTTATTTTTTGTTGAACTGCCCAGTTTTTCTACGTTTTTTTGCCCTCTTTCGTTTCTGCCGTTGTTTTTTTACACTCTTTTCTTGTTCTGTTTTCACTGTTGCCGCCCAGTTCACGTTTCTTATTCTATTTTTTTCGCAGTTTTTTTTCCTTTCTGCCCTCCCACGAATGCACCAAGGCCCCCCCGAATACTTCTCTTTTCTTCTTCCATTTTTTTTCTACCTCTGCCTTCCTCTTTGTCTCCCACGTCTTCAGTTTTTTTCCTTGCTGCACAATCTCATGCCACGAAACTCTTGCCATTTTTCAATCAGTTTTTTTTTAGCTGCCTCTCCCTTTCATGTGTTTCTCCTCTTCTTTAAGTTAGGCCGAATAGCCTTGTTTTCATCCAGTTCCACGTTGCCCGCTTTTCCTCCATGCAGTTTTTCCTTCAACATTTGTTTTTTATTTATTTATTTATTTTTTTGGGCTTCATGGGATGCATGACACAGGTGATTAGACAAAACTGCAAGTGTATAGGCTGTACA